AGTAGATATTAAAGTCAATATGGACCGAAGTTGTCATAGGCTTGAATGAGCCCAGTATTTGTGATAATACAGAAAAATATCCTTAGAGTTGAAGAATATTTATGTTGAACAGCAGAATGGGTGGTTAGGATTTGAATAGGTAGAATATAAGTAGACTATGAAGGGCGTTAATGTCAAAGTCACTATTTTAGATGTACTCTAATAGGAATTATACACATATACATGTAATATATATATATGTCATTGCATCTTCTTAATGAGAAAAATGAAGCTCTTCTAGAAATACTAATCTTATAATACTCTTAATGGTTAGGGAATACTTTCCTTTTTTATAAAGATATATAACATTAAAATGAAATAATTCCTCAAAGTACTTAAAAATAGTAGTGACAGCCAGGTAAATATGATAAAGGTCATTCACAAAATGTTCCTTCACTGCTTTAAAAACAATAGAAAATTAGTAAAATTACTAACAGTAACCAAACAAATGTGAGAGGCCCCACTTAATGCATACATTTTTTAAAGTAACAGTCATGAAAGTAAGTGCAGATTACAATCTGGCTAATATGTTCTAAACGCTGCACATGGATCTCCCAGACCTTGTAATGAGGGCAAAAGTTGATTCATTAAGATAATTTTTTTATTTTTAACTTATAAGCAGATTGAGGGGCTGAAATGAGGGCCAAGGAGAATCCTTCAAGAGTAGAAAATGTGTCAATTTCCTGTGGCATCTCATAGAGACAGAGAAAACTATCAGTGCCTGATTTTGTTTTAACACTCTAACTCGAAGAAAATAACCAGGAAAGGTACAATTCGTACTTAAAAAAAAATTATAATGCACATAAGTAAGTAGTAGTAAACCTGAGACCTCTTCCTTCCTCCAAATTACACCTTTATGTTCTGTAGAACTCAGTGAGAATCTGAATTCAAGAAGGTTAAAAATTCAAAACACAACATTGTAACAGACTAACAGTAATTGAATAGGGAACAAAATTAATATGAGAACAGCACTATTACAGAACTATTTAGTCTCTTAGAGAAACAATATAAGAAGTCAGATAACTCAGGGAAAAGTTGAGATAATTGTACCATATTCCAATAAAAAAAATAAATGATAGCTAAAATAGACTGGGTGTTTAGATGATTAAGGCAGCCAATGTGTGGACAGTTTTCAGATATTAAGTAGAAAATCAAATTCTTCAGACAGCTATAAGAAAGTTTCTTTGAAGTAATTCTTTTCGACCTAAAGGGCGTATTTTCAGGAAAAGCTGAGAAATAACAGTTGGGAATAAAACTTACTGTGCTTGATTTGGAAATTCTCCATGAAGAAGAATAATTGAGGAAGACATAGATGCAAAATCCGTAAATAAGCAAAACTTAGGATAGTCTGACCTCTTACATGTCTACAATATTCACCCCAAATATAATGAAGCATTATCTACAAGCATTGGAGATAATGAAGGTGAAATCCAAGAGTATCACCACCAGCCACATTTTCCTCTGGTGATAAGACTAAAAGAAAAAACCTCAAATGTAACAACTGTGAGTACTTGGAAGGGTGGTGGACGGATGGAGAAAAAACTGCCTGACATTGAAATCTAAGAAAATGAATGGTGAATGGCTGAATGACAAATGAAGTATAAGAAGCAGAAGGAAGGCTGGACGCAGTGGCTCACGCCTGTAATCCCAGTACTTTGGGGGGCTGAGGCGGCTGGATCAGGAGGTCAGGAGTTTACGACCAGCCTGACCAATATGATGAAACCCTGTTTCTACTAAAAATATAAAAATATATCCAGGTATGATGGTGCAGGCCTCTATTCCCATCTACTCGGGAGGCTGAGGCAGAATCGCTTGAACAGGGAGGCAGAGGTTGTCGTGAGCCAAGATTGTGCCATTGCATTCCAGCCTGGGCAACACAGTGAGGCTCCATCTCAAGAAAAAAAAAAAGGCAAACAAGTAATATTTAAAGATAGTGGCACAGTGATTGCAAATCTGTGAGGGAAAGTATAAACCAAATTTTTATCTCTAGATAAACTATTCTTAAAGAAGCAAAAACTCAAGGAATGTAAAAATGTTAAGGCTTTCGTAAAAAAAAAAAAAAAAAAAATACTCCAAAACAAGCAAGTACTTGCACATAGTTATCTAATAATACAGTGAATTAAGAAGAAAAATTTAGAATTGGGGATATTTTGTTAACTCACTTTCCTTGAAGATGGATAGATTATGTCTAAATTATGTCCATTATGGCCACAAAATAGAGTAAGAATCTAATAAACCTTTTAGATTTAAAACCACACGATAGACCAGACCTCAGCTGTGGGCAGAACTTAAAAGTGTGCTATCTCCTCTTACAGAAGGAAGTCAGTGAATACTGACTTAGAAAGGTGTCATTAAGAGGGCAGTGTCTTTATCCTGCCCATAGCATCTTTTCTTAACCTGTAGAAAGTAAACTTCCTGGAAATGAATTATCTGAAGTTTAGCAATACTTTTGGTTTTACGACATTTGGTTTTCATTCGCTAAAATTACATAACTTAAATGACATGCATATTATTCCATTTTAATAGAACATTCATACTTTTAGTCTTTCCCTTCATTTGTCTTTCCTGCTTACTACATATATTATTGGTAGAGAATTGTTGAAATGATACTTAACTTTCAGAGTTATTACCTCTATGTAGTATTTTTTGATGAGTTTTTAAAGAACTTTCCCACATTGTTCATTTTAAGAACATACACTATTTTCTTGACACAGGATGTTTTTCTTTTAAAAGAACTGGTGGTTGGCCGGGCGTGGTGGCTCAAGCCTGTAATACCAGCAGTTTGGGAGGCCGAGGCGGGTGGATCACGAGGTCAAGAGATCGAGACCATCCTGGTCAACACGGTGAAACCCCGTCTCTACTAAAAACTACAAAAAATTAGCTGGGCGTGGTGGTGTGTGCCTGTAATCCCAGCTACTCAGGAGGCTGAGGCAGGAGAATTGCCTGAACCCGGGAGGCGGAGGTTGCGGTGAGCCAAGATCGCGCCATTGCACTCCAGCCTGGGTAACAAGAGCGAAACTCCGTCTCAAAAAAAAAAAAAAAAAGAACTGGTGGCATAGTTTTATAATTTTTTTTTTTTTTTAACAACTAAGTATTTGCTAATGGTAAAAACATAAATGTTTCTACCCTCAAAGATCTCAAACTCTGTCCTAAAGAAATTTAACACTTTAATACTAAAAAAACGTAATCAGAATCTCTCTTATGTTCTCATTCTCTATATGCAGAAGGAAATTTTAAAGTAAGATTTTTTTTTTTCTGAATTCAGAATTCAGTTGTCCATCTTTGTTGAATTTAAGATCTGATGATACGGTTGCCTTACTTCATATCTGTCAAGTCAGAAATTTGGCAGGATGTAACACTATACCCTACTTTCATGCAAGTAACTCAACCTGACACAGTATCATAGAAGTTGGTGGAAGACCTGAGACTACAGGGTCAGAGAAAAGACCATTTATTACAACCATAGCAGTAGCAAGAACAAAAATGTAGCGCTCGTTTTTTTTTTTTTTTTTTTTTTTCGGAATTCCAATTTCCATGGAGAAATACAAATAGGGTTAGTTGTTGCTAGGCAGTGGGGTTCTTTAAAAAGAAGCTTGATAGTAGAAAACCCTGGCCTTGTATAGGCAAACCAGCCCATCTGCTCCTTAATAGAGAAGTATTGCTCTGAAATGCCATGTAAGCTTAATCCAGGGAGAATGATGTTCCCATCTTAGTGGAAAACCTGTTTTAGGAGGAAATATCTCTATGTTTGCAATTTGTGCAAACATCCTTGCAAAGAAAGCATCGAACAAGTTAGCTGTTAATGCCTTAGAAAATGTTTGAATATATGAGAGACTTTTGAAAAATTGTCCCCCTGTAATATCTAGATGTTACCCCTTGATCAAACTTATTATTGCAGAATGGATACTAGTTTCTTTTTTATTGTAATATTAACATATTGTTGACGACTATGGCCTTTTGGCTTTTTTATTAATAGCTCAATATTATTTTGCTCAATAAAAATTTTAAACTGAACTAAAATTTTTAAAATTTAGTAGCTAATTTTGAGAGCAAAGCTAAGACCTTGAAACCTTTCTCTTATTCTCCAGTATTTTGTCAAAATCATAGCAAATTAAGCTACTAAGTAGATAATGTACAGAGTTACAGAGTTTGATGTTCAACTGAGGAACAGCATTGTATTATTTTTAGAACTATAAAATGTAAAGCATTCTAAATGTAATACCAGTACGAATCAGTGAAATGTGATTTCCTATGGAATTAATATAGCAAGGATATCACAGATTCCTTGTCTAGAAATCCTTAAGTTGTTGTTCATATTATTATCATAGAAAAATCCTGAAACAAGCTAATTAGAATATTAAGTTATATGGAATAAAAATCTTTTAAGGAAAGTTTGTATAATATGTATTCTTTTCTAAATCTAATCTGGGACTACTTGTAGTGAGCTCTGACAGTTTTTTTTAAGGATAGTCTATGAGTTTAAGTCTTCTCTCACTTATATTGTTGTGATGATTTCTTACTCCTTCCCCACTTCTGGTTATTTCAGGTTTAGTGAAGTCTATTCCTTGAATAAAAACTGTTATTTAATATGCCTCTGGGTGCCTGTAATTATCCCTGCAACCTTTCCCTTTTAGTCCTTTAACATGTTCTTCAATATTTATTTGTATAAGATAAACCAGACTACTAGCGTGTTCCAGAATATAATCTGTGTGTGTCTACAATTTTTTTCCTATCTGAAACAATTTTCTGTACCCTTGTTAGCTAAAACATACATTATTCATAGTCTAGTTCAAATGACTTCTCGATAACCTGATGAACTTCAGCTTGTATTACTTTTTTAAAAATTTATGATCCTTGGCTTTATGTGCCTCTCCTCTAGCAATTATGTGATTCTTTGTAACAAAGATGTTTATGTTTGGTCTTTCTAATTTGTGAATTCATTTCTGTTTTTTTCCTACTAGCATGTAAAAGTCACTTCTGAGGCTCTGTGTCATGCTGGCAGAGATCTTCAGCAAATCATCCTAGATCAGTGCTACAATTTTGTTTGTGTGAATGTAAGTCAATTCGAGTGATTCGAAGCACTTGAGGATATGAGCAAATGTAAAGTGGAAGAGAACTAATTTGATTCTTAAATATTTGTATATGAGATTTTGATGAGTTGTCTTACATGTTTTTGGAGATTTTTATCTTTGAAAGAGGAATAATACTTTTAACAAGCTAAATCCCATAATGAGAACAGTGATACTTTGGACAATATTGTCAGTTTTCTGTTTTGTATCTGATCTAAAGTAGATAATAAGAAAGACAAAGGTTTGACTTAATTGGTAGATGAAATTTTGACATGCATAACTTTATGGGTATCCTTTAAAATTATTTATAAATTGAAAACTAAGCTTGATAAATATTTTGAATGTTATGCAGAATCTCTTCATTTTTTTCCTTGAATTTTAAGTCATTTAAAAATGTCTTCTGATATCCTTTTAATTTTCTGGTCTTTCAGGTTATGACTTCTGACTTTCAAGAAACCCAGAAGTTACTGAGCATGCTTGAAGAAAGTAATCTTTCCATTTTATATCCTGTTGTTGTTGTTTCAGTAAGTGAAATTAATGCAGATTTTCTGAAATTTATGCTTCCTTCTTTGTAACTAATGTATGTATTTTTAAAAACTTGATCCAATTGAGAGCATTAACTGAAACTCAAAAGAAACTCTTCTTTGTGGATTCCTCTGCTTACTCTCTTGCTATGACTTCTATGACTGAATGCCTTCATTATTGCAATCATTTGGTTGAATTAACAGGTTTGGAAATCTTTTTCAACCCAGCAGCCAGTTTCTTTTTTTTTTTTTTTTTTTTTCCTGCACAAAAAATGGCAAAGTATTCAGCTTAAGTCAACTGGTTGTTTGGACAGTATAAAATAGTTTTATTTAACATATTATCAGAATACTATTAGGGAAGCATTCCAGTTGTTAATGTGAGGAAAAAAACCTAGTAGAAGAAAACTGGTTCTTGGGTTGTTTCATTTTCTGTGTTCCACTGAAAGCAAAAGTAGAACAAACAGCAAATAAAAAAGAATTCCTAGAAGAATGGCCTATGAAAATTTTGGAGAGATTTTTCCATGACAATCTAAAAGTATATGTTTAGTGCAGAATTTATTTGATTAGCATGTTAAACTATATAGCAGAGGGAACTATCAGAGAGTAAAGTTGGGAAGGAACAGAATCAGAGCCCAAAGCCCTCTAAATTGGCTGAGGAGCAGAATCTATAGTTAGTAGCATTTCCCTGTGTGAAGGGGTTTCAGACATGAAATTCTCTGAAAAGCTTAGCAACTGCCAAGTTTCTAAAGCTCAGGCCCATCCCATGGTGTGGGAATGTAATTCTTTTCAGGTAAGGTTAATAATAATGAGATAATTTGGAATATAAATAACTTGACTGAGTAATGCAACTAGTAACAAGTTAGCATCTCCAACAAACTGGGAGATATTATTAATTCAGTGGCCTCTTTATTTGGTCATATACCATAAAGGTAACTTTCATAGTTGCATGTGTTTATTGAAACCCAAGGTTCTTATGTAATTGATCTTCATACAACACAGATGCTTCCGTTGAGCTTTTTAGGAACAATATGGAATATATCCATTGTTGGAAGCCTTTGAGGCTCTGTAGGATAGAGGTAAGTTCAGAGTTCTGTGTTTGGCCTTTTATTCCTCTCTCCACATTTACTCACTTGGAGATCTCATTTTTCAATGTTCCCAGATATGCTGATGAGGCCATCCAGTGTAGTGAATTAAAAGTCTATATGCTAAAATATTGTAAAATGTTTATTTTATATTGGGACATTATCCTTTTATAATACTTGAATGCAGGTATACTTCAGTTTCTTGCACTCTGAAGATACATGTTTTACAAATTGAAGTTTTGTGGCAAGCCTGTGTCTAGCAAGTGTATTGGTACATTTTTCCAACAGTGTATGCTCAGCTCATGTCTCTATCACATCTTGGTAATTCTCACAATATTTTTAAATTTTTCATCATTACAGTCTCTGCTGTGGTCGTCTATGATCAGTGATCTTTGATATTACTATTACTGTGTTGGAGCACTGCAAATCACATCTGTATAAGATGGCAGGCTTAACTGATACATGTGTATATTCTGATTGCTCTTCTGACTAGCTGTTTCCTTATCTCTCTCTCCTTACCTTTGATACTCACTATGTGCTGAAATACAACAATATTGAAATCAGGTCAATTAATAACCCTACAATGACCCCTACATGTTGAAGTGAAAGGAATAGTCCTGTGTCCGTCACTTTCAGTCAAAAGCTACAAGGCCTACAGAGCAAGGCCTAATTCCCTTCAATTCTGTGAAGACTGTGGAAAGTGAAGAAGTTCCAGAAGAGTTTGAAGCTAGCAGAAGCTTATTCATGTGGTTTAAAGAAAGAATTGTCTTTATAACAGAAAAACGGAAGATGAAACGGCAAGTGCTGATGTTGAGGCTGCACCACATTATCCAGAAGAGCTAGCTGAGATAATTGATGAACATAGCAGTGCTAAATGACAGATTTTTCTTTCTTTTTTTTTTTTTTAAGTCTTCCAACAGTTTATTAGAAAGAATGTAGACATTTAAAAAAATCCCCACTGTCATGAACATAAATTGAGGTTTTCAGCCCTTGTATAAGCTGAATTAAAAGAAATAAAAAATCCAATAGTGTATTAAACGTTTTTCACTCATTTGCCATACTGACAGTGCAAATACAAATCTGGTCTAAATGTACAGACTTTCAAGCAACAATGTACAGCTTTCTTCGTCCTCCATGCTAAGAGATGTAAAAGCTTAAGGGTCAAACAATACCAAATGTATAGGCTTCAAAAACCATCTAAGTTAGGGCATTCTGTAGTTTTAGCTAAGATACACCTGGAACATTGACAAGTGATCACTTACATAGAATAATGTGAAGTACATTTTTTTTTTTTTTTTTTTTTGAAAAATAAACTTTAGTGGAACAACCCTGAAGGGTAACACTAGAGGAAGAGCAGGTTACCACCAGTAAGGTGTCAGCCAATTTGTTCCAGCCACTTTTGAATCCATGTTCTATACTCTAATTTTCTTTCCCTAAGCTTCCTATCATGTCAGTATCTATGTTATGAGGAAAAGGAGACTTAGGCGAAATGTTTTTATCATAACTGCTGCATCAATTGCCTAGGACCTCAAAGCTTCATGAAAGTCTGGGAAATGTTCATGCATAAGGTTATTGCCTTAGCTGACTTAAAATTGCCCCAAACAATGGTACATATCAACCCTTACGAAGCCTTTTAAAAAACAAACAGGTTGAAAAATGGGTTAAAGTAGGCAAATACAGCATCTGCCTTTAGAGCTATCAACTCAGCAATTCTCTCAATTATGAAATCTTGCAGAGAAGTTATTTCTCAAAATCCAGGTGATGACAATATTCCTTACTCCAGATCTGGCATTTTTTCATCATCACTGTCTTGTGAATCATCATCTGCTCCATCTACTTCTGGTAAATCTACATCCTCATCACCACCCATGTTGTTCATCATCTCAGAAAAACGATCAAAATTAGACATGTCCTCATCTGAATGGTCTTCCCAGTCTTTCCAATTATTGAAGTCCACACTAAGCCAATTAAGCTTTGCCCTTTCTTTTGTTAACCTTGGCCATGACTGGCCAGATTCTCCTTTTCGTAAACAACATAAAATTGATCTGTCCGTTCTTTTATGCTTGGAATCATTTGGATCAATACAGTGAAAAAGGTAAATTTCATTTAAATGCTTAAAATTATCACTTCCTCCAAGACAACTGAATGTAAGTTTGGATTTTTCAAAATTTACATTAACATCCTTACTGTCTTCAACACAAAATTCAATGAAGATATAGTCCCTTCGATCGTACCACTTTGCAGAAGCAGGCTGCATTGTGAACGGGGCAGGGGGACGGGCGAACGGGTGGGCGGGCCTCTCTGGCGGCGGCTGCTGCTAAGAAGTCGACTTCTCTCCGGTGGCGACTCCGCAGTTTTGTCCCCGGTCGCGGCCTCTTCTCGTTTCCCTCAGGCGACGGCGGTAGCAGCGGGCTCGACCTAGCTCCCCAGAATGCACCGCGCGGAAAAAAAGCAATGACAGATTTTTCAATGTAGATGAGACACTTCTACTCGAAGATCATGCCAGTATGGGGGCTTTTATGGACAGAGAGGAGAAGTCAATGCCTGGCCTCAAATAATACACTGACACTTCTTAGGAGCTAATGCAGCTAGTGACTTTAAGTTGAAGGCAGTTGCTCACTGACCATTCTCAAAATCCTAGGACCCTTAAGAATTATGCTAATTCTATTCTCTGTCTGTGCGCTGTAAATAGAACAAAACCTGAATGACAGCACATCTGTTTACAGCATGGTTTACTGAATATTTTAAGACCACTTTTGAGACTTAATGCTCAAAAACAAAGATTCCTTCAAAATACTTTTCAAAAAAACTGCTTATTGGTAATGTACCTAGTTACCCAAGATCTCTGATGGAGATGTATAAGAAGATGAATGTTGTTTTTGTCTGCTAACACAACATTTATTCATCAGCTCATAAATCAAGGAGTCATTTAGATTTTCACTTCTCATTTTTGAAGAAATACCTGGTGTAAGGCTATCACTGTCCTAGATAGATTCCTGTGATGGATCAGTGCAAAGTAAATTGAAAACCTTCTGGAAAGGATTCACCCTGCTAGTTGCCATTAGGTACATTCATGATTCATAGGGGGTCTAATGTTAACAGGAGTTTTGAAGACTTGATTCCAACCCTCATGGAAGACTTGGAGGCATGTGACTTCACCAGAGGAAGTAACTGCTGATGTGGTAGCAATAGCAAGAGAATAGAAGTGGAGTCTGAAGATAGACTGAATTGTTCTAATCTCATAAAACGTAGATGGATAAGGAGTTGCTTCTTATAGATGAACAAAGAGAAAGTGGTTCCTTGAGATGGAATCTAATAAATGTTTAAATGACAATAAAGCATTTAGAATATTATATAAACTTAGTTGATAAAGCAGTGGCAGAGTTTGAGAAGATTATGTCCGATTTTGAAAGCAGTTCTGTTGTGGGTCAAATGCTATCAAACAGCATCGCATACTGCAGAGAAATTTTTGTGAAAAGAAGGATCACTCTAGGCGTTGAATATGTTGTTGTCTTATTTTAAGAAATTGCTATATCCAACCAACCTTTGGCTACCACCACCCTGAACAGTCAGCAGTCATTACACCAGGAGGAAGATTAGAATTCACTGAAGGATTAGATGGTAATTAGGATTTTTAGCAATATACCATTTTAATTTAAGATATGTACATTTTTTAGTTATGCTACTGTACACTTAATGAACAATAGTATAATGTAAATATGACTTTTTGTGCCACTAGAAATAAAAAATTTCATGTGACTCACTTTATTGAGAAATTTGCCTTACTAGCTTCAGCAGCCTGGAGCCAAACTCCCAATATTTTTGAGGTATGCCTGTTACTTTCCCATTGCATAGGCAGACTTAGCGTGATGTTATTATTATGAGCATTATTAATTTAATAGAAAAAAGTGTAACTAGTTTATATCTAGAATCTGTATCCATAGCATGGAGCAAATAATTAGAAAGGGTATTGTAAGTAATGCTGGCATCTTGGATGGAGAGGTGAGTGAATAATGTCTGAGTATTTAAATTGTCCTGTCAATGACTGTGAATATGACTGATCAGGCTTCATCGTTTTTTCTTCTGATACCACTTTCACCAAAAATGGCCAGAAAGCAATTTCAGTTTTCCTATTAATGAAAATCGGGCAGAACATTTCAAATGCATACCAACTTAATAGATGCATTAAAAATATGATAATTATAAAATAAAAGACATAAATCTAGATGCATCACAGTTTACTCATTAGTAAGAGGAAAAACTATTAATACACATACATACATAGTGTTTGCATGTGCAAATTCATATGCAGATATGTATACACATGTTTGTAATTGGAAAATTACATACCAGGCACTTCAGAGGCTATAGCATTCTCTTTCATTCTGTCTGAATTAACTTTTTTGGAAGATTAAATCAAGAAAGATGTCTTAGCACAAGCTTTTTATTTTTATTTTTTTATAAATAAGACTTTTGTTAACTTTAAATTATGAAAAGAACTTTCAAAAGGAGTGTGATCACTTGCTTCCCTAAACAAGTAGCTTTTATTCATCAGAAAATACATTACAAAATGACATCAAAGTCATAGAAAAATATGTCCATTTTGATTTTTGAGTTATGTGATTCCACAGATATTGCATGCATGCATTGTAAATGTTTAAAGGCCTGTTTTGTCTTGGCTGAGATGTACAGTGGTTTACAGTGGTTCTTTTTCTTATGCAAGGGTTGTCAACTTCCAATTTCAGTCCATCTGAAGAGTGGAAGGCTTAGCAGGAATGAGTCACATGCAAAGTAAAATTGTGGTTATTGGCCATTTATGAGGTTTTCCAATAGACTAGTTAAGGTTGTCACTTTGCAATGTCACCACATTTTACTCTACAAGAACAGATATTTAAAGAAAAATGAGGCTGAATGTCAACTTAGGTGGGCATTTGGCAAAAACAACATTGGGTTAGGTTTAAGTGGTAGAAATTTGTTTCATGCCACAATACTGATGAAACCTCCAGTGTCCCTTACATTCTCAAGTATATAAAAATACTTTGGAGTTCCCTGTTATGTCATTCAGTAGATATTCTAAAGGGACTTGTAACTTTGAACCTCATCCATGTTATTTCTCTTGGAAGAAGTTAAGGAGTGAATGAATGGCTAATGGTGCTTGGTTCTTGGTATGTTGGTATCTAGCATAATTACATTTTATTTTAGATTTTGCAGAGGTCTTGACTACATGAAGATCAATTTTTTGGCTCTTATGAAAAGTGAAATGGGCTAGAAATTAATGTGGAAAGTTTTTGTTAAGCTAAGATAAACTGACACAAGTAAGAGGCTACTATTCTAAGATCCACTTTTAGAAGGAAACAACTTTCACCAAGAAGAACGGAAAAAAAAAATGACTTTGTTTTAAAAAGAACTAAGATATTTATTAAAATAGTCATATTCTTAAAAATCCTTTAGGGTATGTTTGCAAAGTTAAGCTTTTTGTAAGTCTTGTGGACATATAAATCATATGTTGTGATATGCTTCATTCGAAGTGGTTATTATCTGACTGAGACAGGATCTCACTCTATTACTTAGGCTGGAGTACAGTGGTATGATCATAACTCAATGCATCCTCTGCCTCACAGGCTCAAGTGATCCTCCTTCCTCGTCTCCCAAGTAGCTGGGAGTACAGGTACGCACCACCATTCCTGGCTAATTTTTTAAATTTTTAGTAGAATGAGGTCTTGCTATGCTGCCCAGACTGGTCTTGAACTCCTGAGCTCAAGCACTCTTTCCACCTTGGCCTCCCAAAGTGTTACGATTACAGATGTGGCCACATCGCCCAGCCTTCGGGTGGTTATTTCTGCAAAAATATTTTTGGGGTACTTGTACATTTCCAAAAATATTATTTATCCTCTGATATTAGAAATATTTTTTGAGCATCTCTTTGGTCATCACTCTCATTTATTTTTATATGTTTTAAATAGTCTTCTTTCAGGAAGTTCTCATTTTTATAGTATTTAGCATGATTTAAGGACTCTGCTAGTATTTGACCACCTTAATAAAATATTTATGTTTTGGTAGATGTAACTTTATTTTGTAATTATATTGAACTATCAGAATTCTACACATTTTTACCATCATCTAGTCTATTAGCCTGTTTTCACACTGCTATAAAGGTAATACCCTAGAGAGGGCAACCTATAAACAAAGGAGGTTTAATTCTAATTCAGTTCTGCATGGCTGGTAAGTCTTCAGGAAACTTAAAATCATGGTGGAAGGGGAAGCAGGCACCTTCTTCCAAAGGTGACAGGTGAGAGAAGAATGACGGAGGAACTTCTAAACACTCATAAAACCATTATATCTCATGAGAGCTCACTGTCATGAGAACAGCACGGGGCAAACCACCCCCATGATCCAATCCCCTCCCTCCCTTGACATATGAGGCTTACAGGTCCCTTCTTCGACGTATAGGAATTACAATTCATGGTGAGATTTGGGTGGGGACAGAAAGCCAAACCATACTCTTTAGAGACTGGTAATATTGATCACTTGAGGTAAAATAGATTTCAATGTTAGGTGGCCTGAAATTGTTGGGTGGGTCATATTATAAATGTTCTGTTCTTAATGAATCTGTGTATGTTAGTATGACATTTATGATTCTATGAAATCTTTTAACTGTGAGCTTTTAGAAATGCATAGCCTGATAACAAACACACCTTATACTAGGAGAATACTCTGTACTTGGGTGAAAATATTATTTTTTATTAGAGACTGGTCAGCATAAAGGATTTTGCAAGTTTAGATCCTTTATGTCTTAACAAGAAAAATCTAATGCCTCAAACCACACTTTCTTTTGTAAAAATAAAATTGGATCAGATTATGTTTGAAACTTTTTTTTATATGTGATTTCTCTAAATGCTTAGTTTATACTCTATTGTCAAGGAGCTTCGTTTTTGCCCTGATTTGACTGGAGTGATTGTTAGCCCTCTGTTCCTTGTATTTATGGGTATGTGTAGTATTGCTACCACCTCTGTCAGATTATATCTCTAAAAAGATTAAAAGTTTGTTTGTTTGGGACCTGTCACACAAGACGTGAACACGGGACATAGCCAGTTCTCTGTTTTCTACTCTACGTGTTTTTGTTTATTAAGTACTGATGAAAAAATGCCTAGAGAAGTGAAGTAATATAGTAAATGTATTGAAATACTAAAAAGATAAATTCATAAAATTTCTTATGTAAAAATCACTTTAAAAAAGTAGATTTTTACAAACATTTAACAAGATTTGTATGTAGTAAGAATCTTAACTGTAGGTTGAATTCCTTGGTTTTAAGCTAGTGATCAGAGAGCTGTATTTAACCAGTGATGGAGAAAGGAGATTTCAAGAGACAAAACTAACTGTATGTGTTTTTTTTAGCAGTATTACGTAAAACCAACTGTAAAACCACAAAAAATACCTTCCTGCATC